TTCAGCATGTAACAGCATAATTTTATCCAAACTCTAATAAAGCTTAGTTAGTTTTATATATTCTCGAATTATAATACGAGATCAAATTTTCTTTGCGAAGACTTAATATACACGACATTATTAATCAATGATAAAATTGAAACAAGCAACCAGATTCTCATTATTTTAAAATACTTTGTTCCATTGATGTTTCTCAGGTGTGGACAAGGGTGGCGTGTGCGTGTGTGTGTATTTCGAAAGAAAAATATAATACCAAGTTACTTATGACGCATTTCGATCTTGCTTAAAGGCTATCATCAGGTAAGATCGGAGACCTGATATGCTCTGATAGCGAATCATATTTAAAAGAATATATAAAAAAATTTATAAGAGATATTAATATAATACTAACATTAACTAGGTAGCATTCATCCTACGCACTCGCCGACTCTTTCTTGGAAGAAAAAACCGCATGTTTCTCAAAAATCTTGTTGTAGAAATATTTTTAATTTCAGTTTATGCATCAGATATTTTTGTCAATAAACTTATAACTCATGTCAGTAGAAGCATAGTTGAGCAGCTCGTGGACTAGAAATAGTTACAACTCATTAGTAGAAAGCTTATCGCAAAGAGAAATGTCTTTTCAGGTATGGGGATATACTACTCCACATTTAAAAGTAACTTAGACTCTACTTACCTTTAGAAATTTCCTAATACTCATCACATAGATGCATGATGGATATTATAAGACAAATGTCTGTCGCGTCTATGATGCGGTCAAGAATCTCTGCTATGCTCTATAGATATGAGGATTTTCTAGAATTGACTCTAGCCCATCAGATATTGGAAGATGAGGCTATCAAAAAGCTAGTCAGTTTGATTGTCATTGCACCTGTTTTCGAATTTGAATAATAAGACATGAGATCGATCATTCACTCAGAGAATCTATCAAAATCATCAACACAACAAATATTGAAAACTTCAATATAAGGCTACCTTGAATTAATTCAATCAAAACTGATGGTATGTCTAAACTCATATGTGAAATTGGTGCCAGAGTCGGTTATTGCTCTTTATCAGACAACCAGCTATAGCAATGGTCATTCAATAAAGGAAAATATTTGGTAGGATGATTATATCGTGTAAATAAAGCGCAGGATTGACGATGTCGCACTACTTCAAATTTGAATACCCATTATCGCACCTCGGAAAGTCGGAAAACTGAACCGTAATCAATACTTTAATCAAAAATAATTTCTTAATTTTACGTGTTGATGCTATGACCACTCTTCCCACTCGTTATATTTTGAAGTTAGGAGAGCCATGTCTTGGAAATATTCCTCCGGTAGAACTTAGACTACCGAAAAAAAAACATTGAACATTCTTAGAACTTTGCCATACAAGGTGATCGAAATGTTGAAAAAGTTTTCTGTTGATCATAGTCAACCCGACGATTTGTTGATGAAAAGTCTTCATGTAACTATCATGACTAAACTTTTTCGCGATGAAACCCAACTGTTACGTGGGAATCTTTCCAACTGTCAAATCACTTTCAAGTCGGAAGTATGCGCATAATGTAGGTCCTAATGAGCTATGAATACCTTGAAAAGGGTTCATGCTGTTAGCTTATTGCTGCCGAGATATTACATTTTCACAGCTTTTTTAAACAGAAAGCTGTGATCCCCTCAGGAACATTAGAAAAACTGAGTTTTGAATTTTGACTTGAAACTTTGCACAGAGAAAGATCTCAATGTGAATAGTTTATTGTGAAAGTTTCAGATCTTTTGCTTGTTCCTATCTTAAGATACAGCAATGGAAAAAGCATGCTTGTACATTGCTCATATATACTGGCAGATTCCGATGTTCTTTTTTCAAACTAGGACCAATCAAAATGTCTGAAACTTTCACAATAAACTATTCTCATTGAGACCTTTCTTTACGCAAAATTTCAAGTCAACATTCAAAACTCAGTTTTTCTAATGTTCCTGAGGGAGACCACGGCTTTCTGTTTAAAAATGCCATGAGAATGCATTATCTCGACAGCAATAAGCTAGCAGCACGAACTCTTTTCAGGATATTCCTAGCTCATTCGGACCTACACTATGCACATATTTCCGACTTGAAAGCGATTTGACAGTTGGAAAGGTTCCCTCGTTAGTTGAACTGCAAAGTAAATGTAGAAGACTCAGAACCAGTATACTATACTCTTACCTTTAGCAATAGTCTAGTTCGTATTTCCATCTATCTTTCATTTATTGGTCTATCGTTAATTCAGAATTATCGATTCTTTAATCGATGCATTCCTGCAATACCATTCTCCATCGCATACCGAGCTCGAATCGATATACTACTCAATGCGGGTGTGAATGTCAATATAATTGAATATCAGAGATCCGTATTCTACACGTCACACTTACATCCACACCCAATATAAAACTGCTCCGCCATATCGCTCATCATCATCTGTATCTGGATTTTCATTAGAAAGAAATTCTTTTAATAAAACAATCTCGTCTCTAAGCTCTAAGGCTTATCCTCAAGTACAATGAATGGTTCAATCATGATCGAATCGATTTTGATTCTTGTATTGTTTTATAGATAACAGTTTGCAAACTTAAGAATAAAATTAAAACGACACATATGATACTTAATTATACTGTCACATAGTATAATTGTGTGATGA